CAATTATCTGATATTAGACAAAAGTGCTAAAAACATATGTTGGAGAAACCAGTCCTTTTAACAAATGGTGCTGGGAATTCATGTGCAGAAGAATGAAAGTTGACCCCTATTTCTCACACTGCACAAAGTTTAACTCAAAGTGGATCAAAGACCTAGAAACTCTGTAACTGCTAGAAGCAAAAGTAGGTCCCAACACTCTAGTGTGTTGGCAAAGGAACCAATTTCCTTAACAAAGGTCCTGAAGTACAAGAAATAAAACAAAAAAATCAATGTGGTAACATTCGATGAAAATGCTTCTTCCAAGCAAAATAAACAAGAACGAGAAGAGAGAGCAGAATGGAAAATCTTTGCCACCTGTGGCTGAGATAGGGCATTAATATCCAGAATATACAAAGAACTCAAAAACATAACAACAAAAAATAATAACCCAGTTAACATGGGCAAAATAACTAAACAGACACATCTCAAAAGAAAAAAAATGATCAATAAAATATGTAAGAATGTTCAATATTTCTAGCAATCAGGGAAATGCAAATCAAAATTATATTGAAATTTTATCTCACTCCATTCAGATGGCAATTATCAAGAATGCAAATAATAAATGATGAGGATATGAGGAAAAGGTACACTCATACATTTATGTAAATTAGTGTAACCACTTTTGCAAATAGTATGGAGATTCCTTTAAAATCTAGGAATGGAACCACCATTTGACTCAGCTATCCAACTATTTGGCATATATCCAACAGATTTAAAGGCAGCATACTATAGTGATACAGTCACATCAATGTTTTTTAGCAACATAGTTCACATTAGCTAAGCTATGGACCTAACTTAGGTGCCCTTCAACAGATGAATGAATAAAGAAATTGTATATATAAACAATGAAGTATTACTCAACCATGAAGAATGACTTTATGGGCTGGGGATGTGACTCAAGTGGTAGTGCGCTCACCTGGCATGCGTGTGGCCCGGGTTCGATCCTCAGCACCACATACAAACAAAGATGTTGTGTCCGCTGAAAACTAAAAAAATAAATAAATAAATATTAAAAATTCTCTCTCTCTCTAAAAAAAAAAAAAGAATTACTTTATGACATTTGCCAGTAAATGTATGGATTTGGAGACTATCATGCTCAGTGAAATAAAGTAGTCCCCCAAAGTCAAAGGTCAAATGTTTTCTCTGATTGGGAGACTGCCTCTCTTTTAATGTCTGTGGTGTCTTCTTATCATTCAACAGCAGTTTCTTAAAGAAATGCTTCCTGGCCCATTATCCATTCCACACATTATTCATGCTAGACACAAAATCAACCTAATAGTCCATCAGTGGATGAATGAATAAAGAACAGGTGGGGTGTGTGTGTGTGTGTGTGTGTGTGTGTGTATGAGGGAGAGATAAGGGGGGAGAAGAGATCATATATATAATCTTTCCATTTTATAAAGAAGGAAATCTTGCCAGTTGACACGTGTATGGACCTAAAGGACGTGCCAAGTGAAAGCCAGCCAGAAAGATAAATGGCTGTAAATTCTCACCAATATGTGCAATCTAAAAATGTCAAATGCATAGAGGTAAAGTAGAATGCTGTTGCCAAGGGCTAGTGGGTGAAGGAAATGTGGAGATGTTGGCCGCAAAATATGCAGTTTCACTCATGTAAGATGGAGAAGTTCAAGATATCTAATGTACAGTGAAGCTATGAGGGTAAATCTAAAGTCTCACTAACAAAAAATAAAATAATAACCGTGTTAACTATGTAAATTGATAGTGAATTTGCTTGTGGTTATTATTTTGCAGTGCATATGTACCTAAAAACTTCAAGTCATACAATTTAAATATTCACAGGTTTTATTGGTTAAATCTAACTCAACAGTCAGGGATGGTGGGGAAGAAAAAGAGATTTTGGAATAAAATACTTTAAAATAACTGCCATTAATTTTCTGACTTCACTATTCTGACTTCCAAACAATCAATGGCAAATTTCCAGAAAAAACGTTTGATATTGATAAGAAAACAGAAGTTCCTTCTGTGACACAAGTCAACAGGGAGATCAGAACCAAGGTTCTCATGCTGGAATCATGCCACCTTTGTATCCACGTGGCATTCAGGCATCTTAACAACCCACCTTCACACAGAGAAAAGAACTGACCTGCTTGCATTCCAAGGGCAGGGAATACAATTCCCCATTCAAACACCCCTGCCCCCACAACATGCCCATGTCTCTTCAGAATATATACTTCTAAGACAAAGCTTTTCCATCTAGACCTAATTAATTCCTGGGAGATAAAGTCACAGATATAAGACAAAGTCCTTGAATCTTTGTGGAAACCTTTATAAATGGCTATGCAGTGCAAGGTAAAAAAATACATTTTTGTTGTTAAAATCCCCAGGTCAAGATTCACCATGAGTGGAGTGACTGATCTAAGTGTATTTCCTCTACTCTTTATGCCTTTTGCCCTGTGAGACAGTTTTTCTCAGAATATCAATTTTCCATAATATTTCAAATAAATACATTAAAATTCAAATGCCAGGTTTTCCATGAAAATGTTTTGAGGCTTTAGTCTAGAAGAAAAGACTTAGATGTATAGTGATACTCTGTTAATAGCTGTTGAGTTCATATCAATTTACATGAACAGTTTCTAAGTGTGATTTATTTTCCAGTTGAAATTTATTCCAAGAGGAAATCAGATTGTACCTGATCACTCCCAAACACCATTAGAATCATTCAGATGGAGTAAGGTAAGTTTTTCAGTGGTACTGATGTTGATATAAAATTCTTACTTTTCACACATATTTCTGCAATAATTTTCAAACATGGTAATAGAGTCTTTTCTCCTCACCCTAATTCTTTTTTATTTGTTTTAATTAGATATACATGATAGCAGAATGCATTTATGCACTTCGATGTATCATACATAGATGGGATATAATTTCTCATTTTTCTGAGTATACATGTTGTAGAATCATATTGGTCATGCAGTCACATATACATAAAGTAATAATGTCTTTCCTATGCCAAATTGGTAAAATCACTTACATCATTTAGCAGCTAAAAAAATTTGAACCCTTTGTAATTAAGCAATTTGTAGGGTCCAGTTCTCTGAAATCAGGTATCATGCATTTGCCTTGAGACATCTCCTTAATAAATCAAGATGAATTATGAAAACAAAACAAAATTCAATACATTTTATATATGTAAAACACTTAAATATGAATACTATATAGCCTAAATCATCAGATGTTTAGTCCAATCATGAAAATAAAAGAGTTCTTCCTGGGATCAACTGCTGTAAATAGTATCAGTCTCTGTGGCTTAGAGAGTAATATTGGAGATGATTCCTCCTGAGTGTACTAAGTGTTTAAATATTCCTCTGTATTATTGTTTTACTGTCAATTCTGCCTGTACCTTAGGTATATGCATGATTATAACAGTAAATTCAAGTTCTGTATATGGCCACAGCACTGTGGTGGATATTTGCCTATGTTCCTTCTATTGATTCTCATGACAACCTGTAAGGTATATATCATTATCCTCAGTTTACAGGCAAGAAAATATAAATGTAAGGTGCCAAGAAATGCACCTGGATAAAATAAATTGCATGTAGCAGATCTAGGATTCTAATCTAGACTGTAAGTTCTAAAACCAATATACTTACATTAATTGTGCAGTCTTTTTAATATTTTCAATAAACATTTGGAGACCTGAATTTGGGAATGATATTAGAGAAGGAATGAATAGAGCCAGGAGAGAGGACAAAAGGCTCTTCACTGAATGCAGCACTCAGTGAATGCGTTTAGATGTTATTGTGTATATGAACATGTGTGTGTCTGCTAATAAAATTGTCCCATACAAATTTGCCTGTGAAGGCAAAATAAAATAGTCATAATTACATTGATCACATCAAAAGGAGATGACTACCTCAATGTTATTAATTCTAACATTATAGGAGACAAGTTAAGAATTTGAAGTAAAAAAAATAAATAAATACATAAGAATAACCGCAGATCTAACCTTGACTTTGCCCTTTATAAGCTGCTGGACCTTGGGCAGAATCTTTAACTTGTGTGCTTCTATTTTCTAATGCGGGAAATAAGTATAAAAGTGACTGGAGAGAGGATGGAACCAGCAAATGACTACAAAAGCAGAACACACACAGTGTTCACCACGTTTACATAATAATATCCTTGTTATTATGTCCAATACCATTTAATCTGCTAGACTGTTGCCTCATTTGCAAAATGAGTAGAACAATACCAACCACAGGGGTTGTCACAGTTTTTAAGTGGAATAATGTGTGAAGAAAACTCAATGCCATACCATGCACAATCAATTTAAATGGGTATATTATCAGCTCTAATAAAGTTAGATTTAAAAACAAACATAATGAATGTGTCCACTGTAGCCTTTACATTGTTTATATCTCCATCAATTCTGTCCTCCTCTTATGTCACCTACTCTAAATAATCTGCTAATGAGCTCGTGTCTCTGGCATCTTCTCCCTTCCTGAACCTCAGACCATCTCACCCAAGGCACACGAACATCTTTACTAGAGTAATATCCAGGATTTTCTTTTCTTCATATTCTTCTTTCCATTTATGACATGGGCTACTTCCAAGGTCCCCAATTTCATAAAGATACAGAGAAAATTCTTGAGGTTGCATTCATGAAGATCATCATCTACTTCCCTTTTAAGATTTAACTGCCACTAGTATATGATCTAATAATACAAGCTGGATTCTAAGTCATCTCAAATGATTAACTGTACACAGATGTCTCTTACCCTGGTGTTCACAAAAGTTCCTCAAACCTATGCTCTTAACAGAGTCTTCATCCAGGAGACAATTTAGGTAATCCTCAAGAATTCAGAATATATTTTTCTGTATCAAATAAAAACTTCACAAGAGTTCACAGCTCAACATAATTCAGACATTTATTATTTATTACAATGGAGAAATTTAATAAATGCATGATTACATTAATAAATTTTTCAGGTAATATAATTAGTCATCATATGAAATAAATGGAGAAAAGGAATAATGTGACAGAATTTGTTCTACTGGGACTTACAGAGAACCCAAAGATGCAGAAAATCGTATTTGCTGTGTTTTTGCTCATCTACATCATCTCTGTGGTAGGAAATGTGCTCATTGTGGTCACCATTACTACCAGTCCATTGTTGGGGTCCCCTATGTACTTTTTTTTGGCCTATCTCTCCTTTATTGATGCCTGCTATGCCTCTGTTAGTACCCCTAAATTGATAGTGGATGTACTCCATGAAAAGAAGATCATCCTGTTCAATGGATGCATGACTCAAATCTTTGGGGAACATTTCTTTGGAGGCTCTGAGATAATTCTGCTTACAGTGATGGCTTATGACCGTTATGTGGCCATCTGCAAGCCCTTGCACTACACAACCATCATGAACCGACGTGCGTGTGGCCGTCTAATGGGAGTAGCGTGGACAGGAGGCTTTCTCCATGCAACCATCCAGATCCTCTTCATCTTCCGACTACCCTTCTGTGGCCCTAATGTCATCGATCACTTTATGTGTGACCTGAACCCTTTGCTCAATCTTGTCTGCACTGACACCCACACTCTGGGGCTCTTTGTTGCTGCCAACAGTGGGTTCATCTGCCTGTTAAACTTCCTCCTCCTGCTGGTCTCCTACGTGGCTATCCTGCGCTCCCTGAGGACCCACAGCCTGGAGAGTAGGCGCAAAGCCCTGTCCACCTGTGTCTCCCACATCACGGTGGTTGTCCTGTTCTTTGTTCCCTGCATATTTGTGTACATGAGACCTGCAGCCACATTACCCATTGATAAAGCAGTTGCTGTATTCTACACCATGATAACTCCCATGTTAAATCCCTTAATCTATACCTTGAGAAACTCCCAGATGAAAAGTGCCATTAGAAAACTGTGTAGTAGGAGAGTTTTTTCAAGTGACAAATTAAATGTGTCTGGAACCCAACAATGATTCAACTGAGTAAAATACCAAAAGGGATTTTTTTTTTATAATTTCAGATAAGCATACTTATTGGATAAAGAAAAAAATATCCATGCAGTTGATTTACAGATTCTTAACTGAAGGGATTAGAAATGGATACAAGAAAAAATGGGAAAACCTAACCCATTGCCATTCTTTTCATATTGGGGAAATTCTACAGTAGTGGTCCTTAGTATTATCAGCTTCATCCTTATATATGGGTTTATAAGCAATCACTCAATAAAAAGTATAAATGAAATAATATATATTAGTGCTGAGCTGTAATATCTGCAATGATCTGAAGCAATTGGTACTGCTATTATTCCTATGTTACTGGTAAGAAAACCAGCAGAAAGGGTGAGATACCAAAACTTCCAATATTGATATTGATATTGTTGAGCCAGGAGTCAAAACATCACTGATTTCTTGGACCTTTCTTTTTCCTATATTCCCCACCAGGTAATGAAGATAAAAAGATCAGAAAATTATTACAGCTGTAATATTTTTTAAAAAATTATTCAGATGCATCGATGTTCATAGCAGCACAATTCACAATTGCTAGACTGTGGAACCAACCCAGATGCCCTTCAATAGATGAATGGATAAAAAAAATGTGGCATTTATACACCATGGAGTACTACGCAGCACTAAAAAATGACAAAATCATAGAATTTGCAGGGAAATGGATGGCACTAGAGCAGATCATGCTTAGTGAAGCTAACCAATCCCTAAAAAACAAATACCAAATGTCTTCTTTGATATAATGAGAGCAACTAAGAACAGAGCAGGGAGGAAGAGCAGGAAGAAAAGATTAACATTAAACAGATACATGAGGTGGGATGGAAAGGGAGAGAAAGGGAAATTGCATGGTAATGGAGGGAGACCCTCATTGTTATACAAAATTACATATAAGAGGTTGTGAGGGGAATGGGAAAATAAACAAGGAGAGAAATGAATTACAGTGGATGGGGTAGTGAGAGAAGATGGGAGGGGAGGGAGGGGGGATAGTAGAGGATAGTAAAGGTAGCAGAATACAACAGTTACTAATAGGGCATTATGTAAAAATGTGGATGTGTAACCGATGTGATTCTGCAATCTGTATTTGGGGTAAAATTGGGAGTTCATAACCAACTTGAATCTATTGTATGAAATATGATATGTCAATAGCTTTATAATGTTTTGAACAACCAATAAAAAAAATAAATTAAAAAAAATTATTCAGATGCACTTTTATTCTTAGCCCCAATTCAAGCATGAGCAATAACGTGAGAACATTTTTTTTTTTTAAAAAGCAGATCATCAGTCACTTAGATAAGAACTTCACAAGTTTCATTGCAAGGGTGTTTAAAAATAGAAAGCATTTCAGGACTGGTTGCCCTATGAATAAAAGCAAAAGGTTTATTTTCACTTTTTTGCAAGGGTGAGAAAATTATTGTCTTCTGTGTTAGGATTTACCTAGAAATCTTTATTGACTTTACTATTTAAATAAACTCTAAAAAGAAACCACTGTTTCCAACAGTTGGAATTTATTAAAGGATAAACTGTATTGGAAATATAAAGTATAAAACACACACATTAGGCAAGAAAAATATAATTTTTTATTAGTAACTCCTTGTATTTGTGTAGTCAAATTAATGGTCATTGTTTTCTGAAACTGTGGTATTTAACTGTGTCAGGGATATAAAAGCAATGGGCCCTTTCACCTTTGATGGGTAGTGATGAAGACTATACCATGATCCTTGTTGGCTTCAGATCTATTTTGCATTGCAGCTGTAATCTGAAGTTTGCGGCTGACGCATCATAAAAGATGATGACGACTCAAAGGAAAGAGCATCTGAGTGTCAGATTGGAGTTTCTACTTATGAACTACACAATCATATTCCATAAACTCCTACAACAGATTCCATGAGATAGAACAAGGCTTGGTGCACAATACATGTTTCAAAAATGGACCAAAATATAAAGGATAAAAAATAAATTAACATGTGGAGAACAGGAAAAAATAATGAGGAAAATGAAGGAATTCCTTCCAACATAGATTGGATTTAGATTCTAATGAGAATTCTAATAGTCTATGCAGGGAAACCACATTTGTTTTTACTCTTGCTTAAACTGGAGGAGTGAGTAAGTTATTGAAGCAAATTTTCAGCATGAGAGCAAAGATTTTACCTTGATATTTCTCTGCTCTCAACAAGATATCATTTTTCTTACAAATATGAGCTATCTATATTTTGTTGGCTAACCAGTTTATTTGGAGGCAACATTTCATCACTAAACACCATTAAAAAAATATGGTTTTACCAGGGAAGGATACAGTGGAGGAAGGGATGGAAGGAGGATGGCTAATGAGTACCAGTGTGGAGTGGGAGAGGAGGAATAACTACTACTGTTCTACAGCACAGTAGGATAACTACAGCTTACAACAATTAGTAAAATATTTCAGAATAGGGAGTAGAGATGATTTTGGATGTTTCCAACACAAAGAACTGATATAGGTCTGAGGTGATAGATATGTCAATTACCCTGCTCTGATGTATATATTGGAATGTCTCATTACACCCCAGACATGTGTGTAATTACTATGTGTCAATTAAAAATAAAAATATTTTTTTTCAGTTTTTAAATGTTTTTGTTAGTGCATTATAATTAGGCATAATATTTGGGTTTATTTGATATAATCATTCAAGCATGGAGTAGAATTTTCTCCATTTTAGTTCTCAGTACTTTCTCTTTCCCTTTCTTCATTTTCTCCTTCTTATGCTCTTCTGGTCTTCCTTATTATTAATGATTTATTAATGATTTTTATTAATGATTTTTCTGATGCTTTATAGACATAGAAAAATGTGAAATCCACTGTGGTATAGGCCTATCAACACACAAAGCAATTTCAGATTAAATACATTCTATTCATTCCTCTGTCTGTCATTTATTAATCAACAAATATTGTGAGTGCCAAGTTTGTATCAGGCACCCAGAGTTTTGGTGATGAATAAAAAGAAACCCAGATCCTGCCTTCACAGAGCGTCTTTGCTACAACATTTCCAGAATAGGACAGAAATCACAACCCAGTGATATAAATGGGAGGATCGTGGGAAGCATATAGTGCTGGGAAAGCATGTTGAAGGGCACACAAAAAGATTTCTTTTGGGAATCAGGAAGGGATTCCTAAATAAAAAACAGACAAACAAACAAATAAACCAACAAAAACACCAACCATGGGACCCAAAGGATCAGAGTCAGGAGAGTGCACAAGCACGGGACTGAGCTGAGGGTATTCCTAGCAGAATACATATGACAAAGGCCAGGCAGTGCAGGATGTGCAGGAAGCTCATCAGTTCAATATGACTGTGATATGAATGTAGATATTCACTCAACAATTTATTTATGTTATGTTATTCATTTATGTTATTTATGAACACCTATTATGTAGCAGGCACTTTGATTCATGCATAGTTATACTTATACAATTCCATTTTACTTTCAGAATGATAACTCTAGCTGCAGTACTGGAAATGGATTGAAGGGGACGAGACTAGAGGCAACAGAATGGTTTGAAATTATTATAAAGATTTGGATATAAAGATCAAAGTCTGGTGTTGCCAGTGAGGACAAGACTGGTTCATCCAGCTCCAGTCCATCCACTAGGCCAGTGCACCCAGGCTCTAAGAGTGACTGGATTGCTGGGTGCAGCGGCACACGCCTGTCATCCCAGAGGCTCGGGAGGCTGAGGCAGGAGGATGGCAAGTTCAAAGCCAGCTTCAGCAAAAGCGAGGGCCTAAGCAACTCAGTGAGACCCTCTCTTTAAATTCAATAAACAAAATAAGGCTGGAGATGTGGTTCAGTGTGCTTGAGTGCCTGAGTTCAATCCCTGGTACCCGCCACCTCCCCCTAAAAAGAGTAACTGGACTGCCAACAGGTCATAGGCCTGCCCTTCTTTGCACATCCACACCAAAGACAATGGGGGGATTATGCCCACTACTTTCGGGGCCCACCCAGTGGCCATGGAGGGGTAATAAAGGAAGGTCCCCTTGTCTCCAGCTGGAGCCTGTTCTGCAGCACAACGTGTACTCCAGAGCTCCCAAGGCTCCAAATGGAAACCTGACTCTTGTTGAAACCACACCCTTTCTTTCCTCTAGTACAGTCCACCTCCTTTGAAGTCATTTTCATGAACGTGCCCATCTCTAGCTCTGCATCTATGCAACTTAACCGTCAGAGTGACAGCTCAAGAAATATGAGCTGAGCCGTAAGCAAAATATCCTGATGTAGATGATGGTTACAGAAAGAAGAGTTGAGCATGAACAAGTTTCTGGTTTATGTCTCTGGATAAATGAAGATGGATCAGACGATGAGTCTTCCTTTCCAGTAAAAGAGGCCTCATCCAATCAGACGAAGGCCTGGATAGAACAAAAGTAGTGAATAAGAAGTTCTCCATCTGCATGATCATCTTTGAGCTGCACCATCAGTTTTTTTTTTTTTTCCCTACTTTGGATTTGCACTGTAGCGCCGTCTCTTCCTGCCAGCACGTTCGCTGGAACCATACCACTGACTGTTTCAGGACTTGTTCTTGGTGTGAAAATGTACCACTGGCTCTCCTAGGTCTCCAGCCAATTGTGATCTTGGAACTTATCAGCCTCCATAACCAAATGAGCCAATTTCTTATAATAAATAAAAAAGTGTGTGTGCATGTATATATGATATATATGAAAATATATTCTTTATATTATCCCCATAATATATATATAATATTATATATAATATACACAGAAATATATTCTTTATATTATTCCCATATTTATTATAGTAAATCATTATGTTATTATATTTTATTATTATAAAATAATGATTTATTTATTTGGGGCCATGTGTATGTCTGTATTCTCCAGATAAATAGAACCAACAGAAGATAGCTAGGTAAGTAGATAGATAGATAAATAGACAGATAATCTCCTATTGGTTCGTGAGCATCTTTTGTCAGTTCCATTTCTCTGGAA